TTGTCGATGCGTTTGAGTATGGTACACTACGAATAAACCGCAAACGGTATTTTGTTTGTTCACCTTCGGTCACTACATCTCCATCTCGTTGAGCTCATGCCAAGTGGCCGCTCTACTATCACCGTGGACTGCGTCAGTCAACAAGATATGTTTTTGTTTCCGCGCTGAAGACCGACCATCCTGCGTTGCGACTTCCAAAAAGGCTACACGTTTCCGAACACTTTGCTTCGATGTGGACTGAAGCCGTCCATGCCACCGATCAGCGTGTGGTAAGTGCGCGCTCGTCTAGATCGGGCCGGGAAATCAACTACTAGGTACTTACTTGACGTACTAGGTACTAACTTGACGACGACTATGTATGAATACTATACTTCAAAACCGAATCACAAGCGTGCATCTTACAGTGGTGACTCCTTTGCTTCTTTTTTATTGTGTGTCGTGCAAAGTCTGCTGGGTCGGTAAAATCGACATGTACCGACTTCATGTCGGGCCGAGAGACTGCCCGTAGCACTTCGTAGCTGGAGCGTTTTCAGATACAACAAGAGTGAGGTTATGAGGAAGCTAGACGGGAGTAAGGTTACGAGGAAGCTAGACTTGTATTTCTTTCGTTGCTACGTAGACAGAGACTAAACTCGATAACATTGATACCGCTCACGGAAATACAAGCTTCGGTGAGTTGGGTTGGGTTGGGTTGGGTAGATGTACGAAGCCTCCCCATTCATCCCTGCGAGCGGAGCTTGCGGTTGGCGTTCGCAGTCGCTGACGCACTTGCTGTGGCACCGCCGCCGTTCGTGCTCGGGTAGCTGTTGTAAGCCGCGGGGGCAGCAGGCGCGCCATAGCCGCCCACGCCCACGCCCACACCGGGGCCGTAGACACCAGGGCCGTAGACGCCGGGACCGTAGACTCCGGGGCCGTAGACGCCAGGGCCGTACACACCCAGGCCGCCCACGCCGACTCCCACAACACCGGGAACTCCCACGCCGACGCCATGGATGCCGTGGAGGTGGCCACCGTGAATGTGGCCGAACGTCTGGGCCACCGCTTGTTCCGCGCGCACGCCGTTCGACAGGGCGGCGGCCGCGACGCACATGGCAACGATCTTGCTGCTGCTCAACATGACTGGAGACTGCTTGGTGTAGACTTGAGCGTGGTCTGGTCTGAGACGACAGGGAGAGCGCTGGCTCTGGTTGATTCGCCTCGAGAGGTTGCGGCTCGAGGGTGAATTGGAGAATGAGCGGAGCTATCAGAGCACTGCTGCAGACAGCGCGGAGCTGCTCCCTCCCTCCGCGCCTGCCCGTCTAGCCTTGACTACGGTAGCGTAAAACGCCGCGATCTGATACAGGCACGCAGGACTTTTGTTGACCATCTCGCCGGGGCAAACAGAGCTCGCGGCAGCCACCGCTGTTTTGTTCACAACGGCAGCACCACGTGTTTCGCGCTTTCGTGTGCTTCGGTCGATCGATCATCTGGGAGGCGATTAATTCGCAGCCACAGTTTCCGCCACGACCCGGCTGCGTACAGCCACTTCAACATGGAGCTAGACTTGTATTTCTTTCGTTGCTACGTAGACAGAGACTAAACTCGATAACATTGATACCGCTCACGGAAATACAAGCTTCGGTGAGTTGGGTTGGGTTGGGTTGGGTAGATGTACGAAGCCTCCCCATTCATCCCTGCGAGCGGAGCTTGCGGTTGGCGTTCGCAGTCGCTGACGCACTTGCTGTGGCACCGCCGCCGTTCGTGCTCGGGTAGCTGTTGTAAGCCGCGGGGGCAGCAGGCGCGCCATAGCCGCCCACGCCCACGCCCACACCGGGGCCGTAGACACCAGGGCCGTAGACGCCGGGACCGTAGACTCCGGGGCCGTAGACGCCAGGGCCGTACACACCCAGGCCGCCCACTCCGATGCTTGCAACACCGGGGACGCCAACGCCGACAAACCCCGGGCCGCCGACCAGTGTCTGGGCCACGGCCTGCTCTGCGCGCGCTCCGCTGGACAGGGCCAAGGTGACGATGCACACGTCGACGAACTTGCTGCTGCTCAACATTGCTGGTGGTTTCTTGACTGTATCGGTCTCTGTCTGGTGTGTGGATCTGTACCAGGCAGGTACAACATGCTAGGGCCCCGCGCTACGAAGATCCGGATCCTGGATCTCCATACGATGTTGCTTGATTGGCAACGTCGTGCTTCATGAGTCAGGTGGCCGTCAATATGTCAACGCTCCACAGCAGACACTCTGCACGCCACAGCTGTGAGTCAGCAGCTTCTACACCTTCTTATGCAGCCAACCCACCAGGACCCTCCACGCCGATATGTACTGTACAGACGCTCCTGCTCGTTTTGTTGCCATCGCCCTGTGTGTGTGTGTGTGTGTGTGTGTGTGTGTGTGTGTGTGTGTGTGTGTGTGTGTGTGTGTGTGTGTGTGTGTGTGTGTGTGTGCCCGCGCGCGTGTGCCAAGCCAGCGAAACCAAACGCCATCGGCACACTCAAGATGAATCTGAGAGAAACTATGACAAAGGATGGGCATTCGGACGGACGCTCACCATTTTGTGTTGTACTGAACTTTGTATGCTCGATGGGGATCC